TATATATATATATATATATATATATATATATATATATATATATATATATATATATATATATATATATATATATATATGTAATACAACTATAGGCTCATAGGCATATGTATATAGGTGTAACATATCCTCCTTAGTTTGCGCCTTCCATAACGTTATTACGTTTTGTTTGCATTTCGCTCGTCGGCACATACTTGCCACTCATACATCGCTATCCAACTACGGACTACGCCTCATAGACTGCCAAAGGATCCGCCCAGCAAGCAGACGAACGTATGCTCTCCGCTCATCGATGGTTTATGCAAGGCCAAAGACAACTGGCCACACTCTTCGCATCTCAACAACTTCTATTCGCCCCGTCCAGTGGGCATCCGGCCCAGTCTGTGGTAAGAATATTCGTGTAGTAAATTTGTCGGACAATACATATCTATATATGTTTATTCGGGATGTCGAGATTGGAGTTCTAAATGTATGTGTGTGTTTTGCTGTCTGTGTAATTCAGCCCTTTTCAATTGTAGTGTGAGAATTTATCAACCTGTATATATAACATTCGGGGTGTCAGTATTGGGATTTAAATGTACATATGAATATCGCCTTTGTTAAAATGAAACCCTTTCCGGGTGCATTGGCTTCATAGTCTATGTTTGAAGTCGTGGCTTGGATTAGTGAAGGGACCAGAAGAAAAGGGCTCGGCATTCCGCATCTCACCAACTCCTACGCGTGCCGTTAAAAGAAAAAAGAAGAAGTGATAGTGAAATTCGGATATATGGCTTTCGTATATACTGGTGTGTGTGCTTGTGTGTGAATTTATAAAACCACTATGTCCAAAAAAAAACACGATCTATCTACTCGCATGCAAAGTAGTACGAACGCGATTGAGATACCTGTTTTGCAGCAGCAGGCACATGCGTCGATACTGTAAACGCTTTTTTGGAAGGACTGATACACACAGATCAGCAGCATACCTTAGACAATATTTATATATTATTCGCTTACAAGTAAAGTTGTATACTCAGGCACTTAAATATACTTCACTCTACATCGTGATACACGCAAATTAGCGGAGAGACAACATTTATATATTATTATCTCGTATATGTACCCAGGAAGCCTTGTGTGTGATGGCGTATACACGCGCAGAGGATGCGGGCGACCTGGCAGCCGCACTGACATACACAGACGCGGCAGGCCACCGGTACCCTCGCCCGTCACCTGAGAGCGGACTCTGGAGGCAGTGTAGCCTTCATATCTTGTTTAACCGGTTCCTGTTGTGGAAAGCTTTTGAAAGCGCCGAGAGGGTGTTGTATTATATAGAGGTGAGCCTTTGCCGTGGTAGTGTGAATGTGTTTTTTCTGTGGCGTGTTTGGATATTCTCATCTGATCGGCGTGGTTATTGGATGTTCCCGTCTATATCATGTATACTTTTGGTCACTCTTGTAGGTTGTCGCTATGTTTGTCTGTGTTTCATACTTGTAGCGTAGATAGAATGTGGTGGTGGTCTTGTTCGAAATATATCGAGTTCTTCTTGTACTGTAATTTCCTGGGGACCTCTCTTTCTTGTATTGACAACCTTATCCGAGCACCTCGTGTCGTTTTTTATCACACAGAACATGTTTCCTGAGTGTGTGGGCGACATATCAAAGATTGTTTTCACCAAATATCGACAAACCTAGTACAATATCCTGACGTCTCGTCCCAAATGCTTGTTCTAGGGTCTCTTAGATACCAACGACTACTTGTACGCCGGTGGCCTTTCCCGCAACCACAAGGGACGACTTTTGGCGAAGTATAGGTGTAGATTAGCGCTGGCGAGGGGCGATGCTGTAGAGGCTTTGGCTGTGTATGAGCGCATGTGTCCGGATGTGTGCCTAGAAAACACGTCAGGCGACGGTACGGCAGTACACGAGCATGTGACATATCTGAAGGTGTGTAGTGTGATATTTGGGTTGAGTTTAGTATGCTGGTTATAGGATGTGTCGATGCGATGTCGTACCTCAAAGCGGAAGAAATTGCAAGTGAAGGCAAGTTCTCAGACATAATTGGTTCTAACCGCTTTACTACAACATATACGTTTTACGTATATGGTGCTTGCTCCTGATCCGCTCGATCGTCTGTATTAATTTTAAATGTAGAACCAAGCGGAAGCATTGCACATGTGCGAGGACTATGCTCAGGGTCTGGTGGTGGCGCTGAAGGGTTTATCGCTGGCTCGTAAATACGAGAGCAAGGCCGACGAGGCTGACTTGGTTCTGTTATTGTGTAAGTACAAATGGCATTTCATTGTGTGTGTACAACGTTTTAGTTATATTTATAGTAGAGGTGACAAATATATGTGGTTGTCGATTCGTCGTTGTTAGTTGGTGATGTACATTGTTACGTTCAATTTTGCATCGATACACAACATGGTGTATTATTGCGCGCCTTCCACTGGGTGGAGTTAAAAACTAACCTGCCGGGAACTCGCTCTTTGAGGTACCTTGTGCCTCGAATATGACTCAAATTTTACTCCACTTCACATACCACACGTGCACACATGCCACGTGCAGGTCGGATACAGCTTCAGGTGGGACTGACACACGCCGCGAATGATATACTCACGAGAGAAGTAACAAATGTGTTGACGTACGGGTCGGCTCATACTCGTGCATGTGTATGGATTGTGCTGGCTGATTGTATACTGGCGCTGCGCGGAGGCGCTGATAGCGATGTGAAGTCAGATATTCAGGTAAATTTATACGCTAGGTGAGCAGAGATATCTGCTAGGGTGGTTGTTTACCACTATTGCGGGGGCGTCAAACGAATGTGCGCATATGTTATATTTTCGTGTTGTTTATGCCTTGACTCTAGGTGAATCACCGTTCCATCCACGCTGACGCTCGCAGCTTCCCGGATTGTAGCAAAACGGGAGATGGGGTGCAATTTGAATACCTTTGGAAAACGTTAAATTATTGCATGACGTTCATACGACTTTAGTGTGACGGGAATACGCACTACAGAGTATTTGAATATTACCGAACTGTATTTGAACTTGAACACGCACCAGCGAAACTGCATCCTCATCGGGGGACAAGCTATATTTGACGGCAATACAACGCACTGAACACATTTTGCCTATTTTACATCGGGCCAAGCAGATTGGTTCTGATGGCGAATTGGACGATTTGGCGACCGATCAATCAGATGCGGAGGATGAAACAGACAGCAACACCCGTGAGTGTCCCAGGTATGCTGCACAGAGACACTGATATTTAAAAGTTGGCACATCGGTGTCTCATTTGTGCGTTATCGCCACGGAACATACATCATAAATCTCTAGAACCCTATAATACATCCTCATTCGCAAAGGGGATTGTGTGGTGTGGCGGAGAAAGTTCAATCGACTTGTAGCGCAGATGATAGCAAGTAAAACGACAACTCAAATCATCCAATTACCTCTCATTAGTCCTGTGTTCGACCAAGATCAGCGGATGAGAGCCAGACTCAATAATTTTACTCATTTCCAGTCATATGACTTAGCCTATAGATGCTAGCCAGTGGTGCGTAAGGGTGGTTGTGGGTTTCAGCTTTGAGTCAAAATCTGTCTCCCTTGGAAGGCTGTGTGCCCAAATTCTTCAACTCTGGACTCAGAAAATTCAGCTGAACGGTCGTTATGAATGATGGGTCTTATTGGATGTGTGTGTGTGTTTGTGTGTGGCTGGTGCTTTGGAGTGAACGCTAGATTTTTGGTATTGACAATAGTCATATGCAACAGCTTCCGGTATATCAGAATTTATTTTTTGCGCTACTTTTGCTGCGTAGGCGACGCTGTGACATACAAGTACGATACGATACTTTTACTACTCAAATTTGAAGGGCATTTGGCATACACAATGACACCCAGGTAACCCTATCAAATTCGTACCATATTAGTTCTACTGACAGCTATTCGCTTTCGAAATATCTATATCGCTCTAACCTTTACTATCTCCGCTGGTCATCGTCAGGTCTGTGCATCTACTGGACTGCATATCAGGCTTACATGACTCAGTAGGAATCTTACAACAGGTAGGTTAATAAGCTTACTTGGGAGCCAATGGATCGCATGCCATTACCCCGCCCCTCTACTCGATGACATATATAGTTTATAGGAGACTTGGCTTTATGTCTTTTTTAATTACAGATAATAATTGACGTGTGTTAAAGGTGCAGGACTGCTGGTGTGATTTGTATTGTCAAAAAATTGAGCAATTGTGTTGTCTCTTGCACATTTTTTTTTTGTGTTTCATTCCACTATTACAAGTATAAGCTGCAAAGGTCGCCACTTCCATGCAGGGGACATAAGCAGTCATAGTATTCTAATTTTCGGTGGGCTCTCATATCGCTTCCGTCCTGTCCACAAACATAACAACCCACCATAGTGCGAATGGACTGTTCTCGTGCTTTAGCGTAATTTTGTGTCTTTAGAGTTGGATGCGTTGAAGGAGCTGCGAGAAGCAGGACCATCTTTGACTCGCACGTGAATCTGCCACAACCACGTACGCATCCCCTTGTGCACAGTGTATGTAAGTAACCCAATACAAGTCTACCTACCCTAAGGATACATAGATGGTTCCACTGCAAGTGTAATGCACGGTAGCTGCTTGATAGCCAACAGCGCACAATCAGGCCACACAAATATATGACAACCAGCTAATTGCGCGTATCAACTGCTGTGACTACCAATGCCATGTATTCCCGGTCTATCATGATGGCACGATTCTAAATATGTCAAATCTCGCCATGCATTCAGATGGGTGATCGATCTAATGAGACGGAGGCTTGGGCGCGGATTGCCATACTCTGCAATGCCCTCAACAAGACTGACAAGAGAGACCAGGCGAGCGAACAGTATCGAAGATTGACTGATCTTAGCGACCAAGCAGCTTGTCAGCAGCGAGTGAATCAAACTGCTTGTGAGCTGACCACACGGGTGTGTGAGTATAGTTGTTTGGTTGTAACGCATGTGGCTATATTTATTGGCAGTTTAGTTGTTGATGGGCTTATGTCGTTGTGCAACGGTGCTGGCAATATATTCGCCCAAGGCCACCGGCACTCGCCAGTGTATGATTTATGAGTCTGAACAAGTGTGAGGGAGTTCCTATGCGAAACATGGCATTGTGCAATTATACCACCTCCGTTATAGTAAAGCTGAAGGTGATTGCTGTTCAATTATTTACCGAATCGCTGTGTTTTCTTGCTTATGGTGCCTTTTGTATCTTGTTGTTCCTCTCGCTTAGATACTGAAATGTGGCGCGGGGGAGTCAACGACCCTCTGAACAGCTAATAACTAAAATCGGAATGCGCCAGCGAATCACCCGCCGCGCAAGGACGCAGTTGTGTTGTAATTGAACTGTAGGGTGCAGGTGGTTAATCCAGGATCAGACCTTGGTCGTGTGATGATGTGATGAGTTAGTTAATCGGACATGTAGCTCAACATGGCTACGTGCTGGATATGAGAGAACATTTTGTGGCTGAAGAATGGTGTACATAGTAGCTGTGGGCTATCTCATAAGAAAATCGCATGGGTTTAATGGCAGATCTGGATGTGATAAACGTATCTGCGCCATATTTGGATAGCTGCAAGTGCCTAAAGGCTCACACTATCCAACTTCTCTGCCGTCTTCATTCATACAACTGACACGACCATGTAGCATTATAAACCGTGAAAATCAGACCTAAACAAAAGAAGGTGCGTGAGCAATCGGTATTAAAGCCTTCTTTTACTGCTCAGATAAACTGTTTTTTGAAGGAATGAATCAAGTAAACAAGATTTGCAGACGTAGCAAGTTTGTAAAGTCCACAGACCACCGAATACAGTCGTTGGGCCAGTAAGGTGTTGAATTTTAGAAATGTAAAGGATTTTATAAGGTCAATTTAAGCATACAGTGGCTGGCAAATCGTGGAAGTATCTAAAGTACCATGAGCAAACGTATGTGGTTGGCGATGATGCTTGATCGTGGATTGAGTATTGTGGATTTGGTGGGCTAACTAGCCGTTCAACTTAGAACGCTTGGAAGTAACAAAAGTTGTAGTGCTAAACAAAAATATACATGCAGACTGTGTACACTACGGAAAATTAAAATGATACAGGAAACCATGATGTTGTCAAGTAGCAGACATATGTGAAAGAACAGAATGTGGTGTTTAGTAACAAAGTAAGCAAATGAAATAAGTTACCGTATTTTGTAAATTCGAATCTCCGTGTTTCATCTGGTGAGAGGATGCTGTAGAATTGGATAGATGGGATGAGAGACGTTCGAAACTCAGAGAGTTTTAATATTGCACAATTCACGGTTTACAACTAATAAAAAAAACAGCCGAAATCAAAGCATGCTAACATGCGCATGCAAATGTCGCGTATGTACCCGCATGCTGCAGTGTTATACACATTCCCAAATTGTACGAACGAAGTCATTAGTGAAGTACACCCTGCCGTGTATGTTGTGCTGCGTATCTCGCACACTGCAGAGCTTCTTCAAACTAAAAACCAAATAGGACAGAGCAATTGAGGTTCACCTATATCTGTCCCCACACATGTAAATAAGCTGCGTGACTGACTATTCACTTGTACTGTCAAGCTGTTCGCGACAGCGTACATTCGCGTCAACTGATCACTACCATAGCATGTATTGTTAACTTTTCTTCACTTTGATATATATATTCCCACACCATAACGCTCAGGGATAAACTGTTATACGGGTTTTTACTCAGCCCGGCCGGGTCAAACCTCTACTTCTTGTTTTCAAACATACATACTTAAATTCAAAGCAGCAACCGAAAACCTCGCCTCAATCTTGTATGAAACGTTTTTAATTGCAACAAATTGATTGCTGATAAGCATTGAATCTAAAACAGTGGTTGTTCAGAACGGATTATGAATGTGTAGGAATGGGAATGGACAAACGCTCTTCACTAATTGCTGAGATTGAGGCTTGGGCTCTACCAACAAGCATCCAAAAAAACAGGAGAGATCCTGGTCCATAGCGCATCACCAGCGGCGGCAAACAACCCGACCACTAATTGTGTCGAAGAATGCACGAACCTTCATGTTAGAAGCGTATATGGGTCTTGAAGTGTATATGGGTCCTAATACTAGGTAACGGTGTTGCACTGCTTGGCACGTGATTCTGGTTATCACCACCGGTTGCCTGTGATGCTAGGCAACCTTCGAGTTGATACGAACTTAAGCCCAGACGCCCCTTATTACCAAGTCTGTAAGACTTAATTGGCGGCCACAAATGTGAAAGTTCTGTCTGCACGGCTTCCAGTAGAACCGGCGATCCGACACTGTGGTTGCCCTTGCCAATAATCAGAGATCTAGATGATTGGGCCATATCGCTGTCTTGCTCCAGAAGTACACGAAGCAACCTTCGGACAACAGCTTGTGCGAGTAATCGAGAATGGTTGTCCAGATTCAACACGCCATCTCTTACCAATTCATCCCAGTACTGCTTATATAAGACCAGGTCTGAAACCATCTCCTCGTAAAAGCAATCGATTATTTTCGTAACCTCAATAGTGTCTGTATCCAACGCCCCTGTAACAATTTTGTAGCTCGCAGCGGTTCTTCGAACCTCGTTTTCGCCCATTTTGTCGAAAAGCGTGGTAACCATTTGCGCCTGATTTCCGTCCGCGTATGCAGTCATCACAGCATTGTACGCTGCCGTATCACGATCGACGGAGTGTCTCTCCATGTCTTCAAACAATTGCACCGCATCTTTCCACCGACCCGCCTTACCGAATCCATTTATCAAAGTATGTATGTTCGAGCGTGGGGCATAAAGCCAATTCCTGACATGCCATCTAGAAATCTGACAGCCTTATCATACTTCTTTTTTTTTCACGAGCGCTTGAACCGCGATATTATATGCTACCAGGTCCAATGGGACGCCACGCATTGCCATCTCCTCAAAAAGCAAACAGCTTTGCAGATGATTAGTTTTCGATTTAAGAGCAAATATGTTTTTCGACGGAGAAGTTTCGCCCCCATCTTCATCAGATGATGGGTTGTTCGCGAAAACTCGTGTGGTTCACTATCATAATGGTATATAGGCAAATCATCTTCGGAAAAAAACGTGCCATAATTTGGCATTGCATACCCCTCACCCGCGACCACTTTGCGCACGAAAGCATCATCCAACGCGCGTATGAAAGCGTCTTTCCACGCGCGCTTCTTGTTATGTTTGCTTTTAGCCACAAGTCCCTTCACTTTCGTACGTCCTACTAGCTTGATCAAGCGCGAGCGTATACCCCCACGCATCCTTTTTGGTTTGGCCTTTTGGTGCGATTTGTCTTGCGTCTTCGTGTTACATTGCAATTGGGGGGTTTTTTGTTGTTGGTTTTTGCTGTTGTTGCTGGGGTTTTCCGTGTCTGGGTGCATTGAACTTCCAAGCTGGGCTTTCGAATTGTGACTAGATTGGCCATTGGATCCGGTTGGGGTTTGGTCGATCTTGCTGTTAACTTTCGATATTTGCACTTTCTTCCCCTTCGTGCCGTGCTTGGAACGCATCACAGCTTGTTCGGTTTTTCTCGTATCTTCCTCCTGCGTTTGCTTCGTTGTGACGTGTTTCCCCTTCGTTGACGTCTTGCTTAACCGTAGTCGAGCGCAACCGATCCTTGTGCTGTGCCACCATATTACAAACGGATGAGCTGTTGGGTACCACAGAATTTGGCTTTATCTGCACTCAATTCATACAGAACGTAACGAGGTAAGCAATACAACAATCCGACTTGATGTCAGATAATCACGTGTGTGGAATTGCAAACTGTGGCACATGAAACTACAAAGTTTCGTTGCCAGTAGTATTCCGATTTTGGACTATTTTCGTGAGATCTGTGTCATCGTAATATGCAGACATATTTCAAATTCCTTTTAAAAGGGGATTGCGACATTTGTATCAGAGGTCATTATAAAGTGATAAGCACTGCGAACTTGATACTAGCGGAATCTAAAAGTATACTCATGGCGATCGTCACTGATACAGTAGCACCATAGAGGGCCTGTACGCAAACCATAAAAGCAATCTTGATACAAATGAACACTCTCGCAATACATCCATATATATATATATATATATATGGATATATATATATTATATATATATATATATATATATATATATATATATATAAATATATAGTCGAGAATTGCGAAGAATTGTATATACTATCGATATATATTCATAAAAATGTAAGCTTATAGATATCAACAAAAATCTATGCAAATCCCATATTTATAACCTAATTGTATATATAGAGACACACGCATGTATCTGTATATATATATAAATACATATATTTACTACAAATTTACTGTATAAATATATATAAATATATATGTACTTTATATATATATATATATATATATATATATACATATACATACATATATATATATATACATATACAAACACACACACACATATATATATATATATATATATGTATATATGTATGTGTGTATGTATACATATATATATATACATACATACATACATACATACTTACATATATATATATACATACACACATACGTACATACATACATACATACATATATACATACTATATATATATATATATATATATACGTAAATACATACATACACATACACACACACAGATACATACATAGATACATACATTACATACATATATATATATATATACCTACCTACATATATACATACGTACATACATGCATGCATGCACACATGCATACATATATACATACATACACATATACATACATATAGACACATATGTACATACTACACATACACACACACATATATATATATATATGTATGTATGTATGTATGCATGCACGTGTATGTATGTATGTATGTATGTATGCATGCACGTGTATGTATGTATGTATGTATGTATGTATGCATGCATGTACGTATGTATGTATGTACATACGTACATCCATACATACATCCATACATATTATATATATATACTAGTTTCTACACACTTGTCCCAGCATATCAAGTTGATAATTTTGTTTTTTAGAAGCAATGATTTTATTAGCCCTTGTTTGACTTAATTTGCAATGTATCATAGCAGGACCACTCGCTAAATCTCAATCCATACTGACCACTAAACGCCGAGTTCTATATTTACACCGCCAACGCTAATTAGTCGCTTCAATGAAATTACACCATTCAGCAAAACATCTGAGCAACACTTCGATCATGCAGTTGCACTGCGCCATTAATTCACACAGACCTAGCAACGAGAGACGCGCTGTCTATATAATCTATACAAGTTTATCATCAAGATGGACGAGTTTGAACTTGGTGGTCGCAATAATAACTATATACATATGGGCATATTCATTTACCTGTGTTTAGTTGAGCACACTCGGAATAAGTTACTAGATGCATTATACACAGCAATCTATCAAAACTAAAAATGCTATCCGAACATAACTTTGGCGTTTTCTCTTCGTCAACTAATACAAACAATATAACTAATCCGAACATAACTTTGGCGTGTTCACTTCTAATACAAACAATATAACTAACAATCTATAATCTGCAATACAGCGGTCAAGCGACAAAGTTAAACACCACACTCGCCATCAGGTCGACAATACACACCCGAATTTTGCGATAGCTTACATTGTGGTTTATATATATATACATTTACAGAGATGTGCCTTTATCACTATGTGACGTGTACTAAAAAAAAAAAATTGCAAATGTACCTTATCGTGCGATCACATTTTTTTGAATTTTTTCGAGTACCTACCCTGCATGTGCCGTTCTAATTTTAGAACTGTGCATGGCTCAATCAAAATTTCCCGCAAGAAAAAAGTGTGACTCAAACGATGTACAGTGTATGGAGAGTGGAGACTATGGGCTCTAAAGTCTATGGTTAAATCACCGTTTCAATCCATCCCAAAACGATCGACTATTTACACATACACTCAAATTGCGTGTATCAAAACAGTATACACGCACGTCCAGATTAGCCTAGAGTAGTCGCAAATCGGCATACATCTACATACACCAATATGAGTGTCAACATGGCTGATGCGTTCGCGCAACCCCAACTTAAGAAGCAAAATCTGGAGGGCTTAGTAATTGAGGACTTAACACCACTCACACCTGAGGTCATCTCGCGTCAGGCAACGATAAACATAGGCACAATCGGACATGTAGCACACGGAAAATCCACACTCGTGAAGGCTATCTCTGGTGTCCAGACAGTTCGATTCAAAAATGAATTGGAGCGAAATATCACCATTAAATTGGGATACGCGAATGCTAAAATCTACAAGTGTGACAATTTACAATGCCCACGACCGGACTGCTACACATCCGCAAGCAGTAACCAAGCCGATAGTTTCGATTGTAATCGTCCTGGATGCAGTGGTATGTCTCGTATTTATTTAGAGTATTATTGTATCATTACGCCATGTACACTTTTTTCCTAATCTATATATCTGTAAATATATGCATATATATATATATATGTATATATATATATATATATATGTGTGTGTAAGCACTTGTACGTGTACATGTACATGTATACGTACACGCACACGTACACGTATCGTGTACATATACATTTACATAAATACACGCACGCACACGCGCTGACATGTTTCATATATATATATATACATGTGTGTGGGTGTGTTTGTAATTATTTTGTACGAAAGGTATAGGTATCAATTATATATATAGTTTGTGAATGAATGTAAATATGTTTTCATATTGTACACAATCATGTACACGCATATATGTGCATATTCCTGTGCATTTATATTTACATATACATTTTTGCACACATATATGTATACGATACATGAATATGTCCGTGAATATTTATTTATATTTTTATTTGTACATATTGAGCATCATTATATAAATATATATATATATATATATACATATGATCTCACACACTCACAGACAAGCAAACAAGCACCTCTCACACAAACTAACAAATCCTTCCATAAGCTCACTCACTCACAGACACATAAACACGCATACTTATGTAAGTATGTATGTATGTACGTATATAGTTATATGCATACATGTTTACATATTTATTTCATCCATATTCGTATATACATGTATTTATATATATATATATATATGTATTTATATAAATATATATATATGTATAGATATATATATATATATATATGTATGTATATATATAGATATATTATGTGTGTGTGAATATACAGACGTATTTATGTAGACCAAGATGATATGAAATTAGCGATCACATCTTCTCAATCAATTTGATAATTGTGAGTATGTATGCTCACAATAGTTCTGAATCTTGGCACAATGCAATCGTATTAATATTTGCCAGCAAATGTTAATTGATTATCAAGAGTATAGACGTAAAAATTTACGCTTTGCTGACAGATCATGGTCTGTCTATTACTTGTCATTGGTACCCTGTTGGCATAATTGCTTCGAAATATGCAATAGTGTGTATTAAAATTGTGTGACAATGTTGTGAGAGCATAACGATACGGTGGTGACTTGTGCGAACCTGTCAATCAGTATCATGACAGCGTGATTTACATCGCGCAATGCCTTCGACGTCGTATGAACGATAGTGCTGTTACGACAATAGGAGTAGCAAAACTTGCATTAAGATCTTCGATATATTTTCTTGTGCTATCAATCCTAATCTAATATATACCATTCATATATATAGATATTTGGTAATGGAAATATTAAACGTCAAATGTCAATAGTATAATTTCGATTTTAAGGTGGTATTCTTTTTATTCTTAGACTGCTGCGATTGCAATATGCTGACGATATCGGCAGTTCGTGAATTATTTTACAAGCATGTATCTGCAGTCTGCTAAGATCAACAGTGATCAACAGATTTAAAACAGTGCACTCTACGTAACTTACATATTCAGTCATTGCAAGCATGCTTCGCACTTTTGAAGATGTACTAGATTGGGGGAAACCTTGTATGTACATATTATGACCGCTGAAGTGAAGAAAAAAAGCGATTTGACCCGGGTTTGATAATCTGTGAATCCTCTCACAATTTCGTGTATGGACTATAATCTACATACGATCTGTTATCTGGTAGAACTCATTTGATTGTATCATCGTTTCGAAACGTAACCGCTTTGCAATATGTTTTTGTGACCTAAGGATTTCAATCAATACAAGAGTTTATGTCGATGCCATCGAGAACTTTTGCGTGACGTCAAAAGGCAGTTGAAATCTCATACCCTGCGAGTAGATCGTTTGCACTTCTCCCGGCCTGTAGTTTAAATACGAAAAGAGTTCAAGTATGCTTTTGGAACCGTGCTCATACCTTCGCACTTACTTTGTAACCTTTCAATACGCTACGCTTACTTGATGTGCAGGTAAATACCAGGTGATGCGTCACGTGTCCTTTGTAGATTGCCCTGGTCACGATATTCTCATGGCTACCATGTTGAACGGTGCGGCCGTTATGGACGCCGCACTGCTGCTTATCGCTGGCAATGAGTCATGTCCTCAACCACAGACATCAGAGCATCTTGCAGGTAAATTGAACAGTCGTTTCAACCATATTATCTCCGGATTAAACAGTTGTTGTTAGCAATTTTGTCTTCGCTGTGCATTTGCGATTGTGGTTGTAGTTAACTGTGAGCTCTGGTTTGTAGTCCCTTATTGTTTTCTGATGAGCACTCGCCCTATACCGTTCCACCACGATGCACGCACTCTTTATGTGGACATTGTGGTAGTGTGTTCATGGGCGGTATCTCACTATCCAATTCATATATTGTACCTGTATATGTAGTGTCTACTCTCGAAGAACAGGTTGCAATTCATCACCCTTCAGCAAATTATGCCGACCACAGATGTATTTTTACTCAATTGGCGATACCTATACCCAACCTCCCATAATTATTTACATGACAGCCATTGAAATTATGAAGCTGGGTAGAGAGAAATTGATCGTCTTGCAAAATAAGATCGATCTGGTGAGAGACACACAGGCGCGTGAACAGTACGATCAGATCCTGCAGTTTGTGCGTGGAACCTGTGCGGAGGGAGCGCCCATCGTACCCATATCGGCACAGGTACATTAGAGCTATATTCGGTAGTGTCAGCTGTATTTATTCGAGCAGTGCTAGGTTGGCAACGGGAAAGGTGAATTGAGCGACCATTTCCACGAACTTTCAAGTGTGGTTCCAGTAGCTGTTGTGAAATATTGCATACGTCTACCCATATTTAGAAACATGGTACTATTGGCAAAGTGCACGAGTAGAGTCCAATATCGTACGATAGTGTATCGTGAAAGTACAGCATTTTCATGTATTTATACTGTAGATTGTATACATTATTCTGTCCATCGTGTAGTGGATTGCATCAAGTGAAGTTGTTCGTCGTACCCGTACTACCTAGGAGGCGTCCATCTACGACAAAAATTGTGACGGTGCCGTGGTGAGACATCTCAACGGAGTCGTTTGCGTGTTTATCTTTTGCATTAGGCAATGTGAAAGTCCCAGATGGTTTGATTCTCGACCTCGTTCGACTATTTTGATATATTGACAATTTTGGTACCATCGTCGTCCCCACTACAGCTTAAATTCAACATCGAGTGCGTCTGCGAACAGATCATCAAGCGCATTCCCATCCCCACACGTCAGTTTACTGTCTCGCCACGACTGATTATCATCCGATCCTTCGATGTCAACAAAGCGGGATGTGAAGTGGATGATCTACAGGGTGGTGTGGCTGGAGGGTCTCTAGTACAGGTGTGTATTTGTGTTTCGCCTGTGCATATTCAACACTTGTATACTAGTGTAGGTTTGTGGTTCTTGACCTTCTGTCAATCCATTGATGGAACATCTAAGTTTCGCGCACTTCTGGTTTATTTCTGCCCGGTCAGTTGCTTACAGGCCCTGCTATTGTCTTCCACACGTTTGATGCATATCTTATTATGCCATCTGTACACTTGCTTGACGTAATGCCTCGGGTCATGTTGGGTAGATTTTCGGGGTCTCGTTCTTGTATTAAATGTCTATCAAATTGTAGTACCTATGTATTCACTTTTCGGGATTCCAAAGGACATAAAATGTATCCGATATCTCATCTAGTACTCGGAAGAAATCTCCAGTGCCCATTTTGACCTGTTTCATTTTCTTAAATTCTTCTCGCATGTAGGGTGTACTAAAGATCGGTATGGATATTGAGGTCAGGCCCGGAATTGTGTCCAAGGACAGTCAAGGAAGGGTACAATGCCAACCTATCAAGTCTACAATTCTATCACTGCACACAGAAACGAATGCACTTCAATACGCGATCCCCGGTGGTTTAATCGGTAAGTTTGATTGGATTCTTGTTATGATGAGTGTGAGATAAGTGTCTATAGTAAATATATATATATATAAGCACGTATGCGATATCTCAGTAACAGGGTATATGGTTATATGCATGAGCGCATGGGGGGTGGTCCGTTCGATGTGGTAGCGGCCATCTACTGTGGAAAAAAAATGGCCTCAATATGTACTTAGAACTGCAAGTGTACCGCACCAAATCATATTCTGGACTCATTGGACGGCGGAGTTCGTTCACGGCATGCATGATAAGTTACGCAGCAATTATGAATCATCAACTGCGATTAGGTAAATTTGTGAGGCCCGTGGCGCGTTTATGTATTGTGTTCCTTAAGAGTAAACTTTCTATGGCTAGTATGCATTTTTTTTAAGTTCATCTCTGTCGAACTGAGCAGGAACAGTGCGTCGCAAATCGAAAGTGTGAGTTGTCTTTTGTCTTGATTTTTCTACGTTTTTGTGGACAATTCACAATCACCTATAAATAGCAAGGGTGACATGATCTCTACCGAGAATTTGGTTGCATCCTAACGGAGCTCTATTATCACACTGCCGCCAGAACTTATTGGCGATATATTCTCATAATCTGTTTCCGTAACTTATCTGTATCCACTTTTCGCTTGGGTTGTATCTTGAAACAGGTGTGGGAACAAAGATCGATCCTATGCTGTGTCGTGCCGATCGTATGGTCGGTCAGGTGCTGGGAACATCCGGTAACCTTCCGGAGATATATACAGAGCTGGAAATCAGATACTATCTGCTCAAGCGTCTGCTGGGTGTGCGTGCGGAGGGAGAGAAGAAGGCCACGAAGGTGCGTGTGACAGTGAACAATTTTTTTACTATTCATGTTTTGTCGGTTTTTGTATGAGAACCGATCGGTATTCGCATTTGCATACGTGTCCGTTATCAGCGTTTAATGACCGGGAGTTCAATTGCACTGAGGACATATATTAACATGTCAAGAACTGCATTGAAAGAATTTTGTTGAGAAGCCGCGAGTCTGAGGTATTACTGCATGAGTTTTTCATAGCGTCAATCGCATACTGACCTGGAGTTACAGTATTTCAGGCGATATTAAGTCTCGCGTCTCACTGTGTACTTGCTCGCTCAAAAAAATATTTCAGCATGTTCGTACTAAACAAAATGGTGGTTCTAAATGAGATACCTTGGTATTATCAGTACTGATAATTGCACTAGCTTTGTTCCATTGTACGAAGAAGACCCTGTCTTTCTTATTTCAACTTTCAAGTACACTGCTTGGCGTATGTATCGACCACTCAATATATATCCTGTTATATCGCATCCAATTTGTAGGTGGCTAAGCTTACGAAAGGAGAGGTACTGATGGTCAACATTGGGTCTCTATCCACCGGTGGCCGTGTCACCGCCGTAAAGGCCGATTTGGCGAAGATTGTCCTCACACAGCCCGTGTGTACGGAAGCGGGAGAGAAGATTGCCTTAAGTCGACGTGTTGAGAAGCATTGGAGGTGCGGATCTGTGTCTTGGTGGTGATAGATGTACCTTGTGTGCTTGTTTTACATTGTGTATCGTGAGATGTGTTGGCAGCAGTCATAGTGCATCTTGTTGCACAGTCTCTCTGCTTGTATTTGAACACTCAGTCTCTTGTGGAAGTGGTTAGGCATGTATGTTATCTCCCGAAAGTTAGAACCTGAGTGTCTTTCATATGTGGGGTTTGACTACGCGATCTGTAAATTTGGCTTGAATACGCTATAGGTTTGTGTTTCTAGACATTTGGTAGGGTTTCCCACTCGTGGGTCATCTTTTTACTTTTTAAAGGTTTTCGTGTGCGCATCTATTTCTCTCACAGATTGATCGGTTGGGGACAAATCAACAAGGGTACTGCTATTAATGTCGACTCGGAGTAGAATTTAGACTGTTACAATCTTAAGGAATAGACAAGTAGACCGGACTGCAAACACTCTTGACGGGACAGTGCGCTGAATATCACAGCAGTGCTTGCCTCGGAGTCGCTGCTGTACATTAGTAAGCGCGGGTGAAGGTACAGACTTCTACTCTTCGAAGGTCACGGAGAAACTAACCCATGTCAGGTGAATAATAGCCCGGGTATGGTCAGGTACCCCTTCCGGCAAATTTAGAGACTAACTGGAGATCGTTAGATAGACCTTAGCTTGTAACCTTCGAATAAATGTTCCTAGCTCTCGGAGTAGAAGATGCGAAATTGCTGTTTTTCTGCTGTGAGCACGAATTTCCCGTAGGGTTAGAGATGGTTTATCTTCCTTACCCGGGTACCTTAAACTTAGGACTTCGCAAGGACCTCACTAATCCATGTGCTCTACTGATCCACTTAGGCGTTGGCATACTACTCGGAAATTGTAGAGTCAAACGGGGATTTACGTGTAGTGTCTTATGGAGCCGTGCAAACTCTTCTTCGTATATATAATAAGCTTACGTACATAATAGTTGAAATAGTTCAACTCACCTCTGTAACCACATCTTCAGTTACCAGGTTATAATGCGCAGTTGATAACAAACCGCAATATAACTATAGGCATATCCATCTCAACGCTTTCACTAAAATATTAAGCGGTATTTTTAGCACCCCATCGTAACCTTAACAGGGTATAGCAATATTTCTTCCAGACAGTTACCATCGGAAATTAGCAACAACAAACAACGGTGTGGCATCCGTAACAATGGGCAAATGTCAATCAACACCGTGTATTTCAGCAGCTCAGTCACAATCCGTAAGCATCCTAATAGCAACGACAGGATCCCGTCCATCACGACCAATTTAAAGTTACAACCAAGGCAAGATAATTGTATGAACCGTTTGATGTACAATTACGCCACCCTTGGCCACTAAAAACAGCTCGATATCGATGCAGTCCAACTAAGTGCATACTGTACAATGCCGTGTGTTTATTGACAAATGCATTGTGATACATTGCTTGCAACACTGTACTAATCTAGCCTTCATGTTTGACTTACTTGATCGTAAGACTTTCCTATGAAAAGAATCAGTTGCAGTAGACGCGTTCTGAACTCAATATGCTGTCGCTTCCTCTGCGACAGTACGATCTGGCGTTAAATAGAAAACCAAGCCAGATATGCAGAATCACGCTGTAAGAAGTAGTGCCGACCAAGTAGAGGCATCTACAGCACAATGCTTGACAAGGGGGAGGTGTAGCTGGCAAATGAGAGCCACCGAAGCTAAACATGGAAAGCACCGGTTCACACAGTAGCACAGCACAGGCTGACTCAATATTCATGGCCGAGCCCAGCAATACTGATAGATTTCTATACTAAGAATTATCCTTTCCCCCTTACCCTCTTAACCCCCCGCCACATCCCCCTGTATTAAAGGGAGACAGTAGTGGCTGACAGGACAAGTGTTTAATGCCCTGCCACCGTCATAGCCCAGTCGTTTCAGTGAGAGCGCAGTCTGACTACTTAGGCAGCACAGATTAATTGTGGAGAGATTTCCCCCAAAATCGTAGCAGTAGAGGCTGGGCGAGGAAGTGTGTGACAATCGGCAGCTATTGGGCACAGGCTGACATCCAACATTGCGACACTCAGTCAGTCGCACAGCAGATTCAAGACTGTGCAGCAAACATGGTCGGAGCAGTACTGTGGATGTATTGGAAGTCTGCCACCACAGCCACATAGGCTGACTACGAAGAGTGTGGCAACTGAAAGCTCTAGCACCACAAGCTGGTTGTGAAGTAGTTTAGCCCTCGACTATTGGTACTGCAATAGTTAGTAGACCGTGTCTGAGTCTCCCGCCGCTAGAGCATTACAGGCGGACCATGTCAGTATGTTGTACTCGGCCATAGAAGCAGGGTGCGCTGTCCCGCCCCTCATTAGAGTAACACAGACTGACCGTGGAAGAGCTTAGTACCCAGCTTCTTGTACTGCATCAGGAGAAGAATCGCAGTTATTCGATGCAGTGGGAAGAGATGCTCTTCTATGATCAAATGTGACAAAGCATTCGCGAGAAATGCAGTCTCTAAAGCTTACAATTTTATTGTTGTAGCCAAACTGGTTATGCACTATCTAGGCATACAAAGCCTAATTTTTAGGTTGCAAAATGTTACACTACAAATCAACAACAGCAGTGAATATCCGCACGAGTAGAATGGAACACACACAGTACACTCATTAAAATTTGTAGAATGTAAAATACACAATAGTCGCTCGTGGTCAGGTGGTGCATAGTAAGTCTATCTTGATACCTGAGTAGTTCATTTGACATGCACGCATGGAACACACATAAGTTTGCCTACTCGACTTGAATCCACAATACAATCACTGAGCTCTGCGCATGCATCAGAGAGTGTGTCCACGTATCATCCATAGCAGACTAATCGTGCAATGATTTGGATGTCCAGGTACTTTTCATACCGTCCACATAGTAGATGTATCGCACTTTGACACCACGTTGCAGCAATCTTAATTTAGAACCTCCCACGAGAAATGAACAGTATATTTTCTCTCTAGCCACTATGAGGGCTAACAGCACACACTGTAATCTGCACCGGCAAAACAAACTGCCTACTATAATTGCATACGTCCTCGCACATTCTTTCCTATATATATATATATTACTCGGCTAAATACACCCTACATACCTGTTCAAAGAATACAAAGCAGAGCAAGTTGTACGGGCACATTCGTGCGTAGTTGGCTGTATTGACGGTAAGACAAAAAGATAGGACAAGAGTATGAAAAGGTTAGCGAACACTTCGAAGGCATAGGAATGAAAAAAATAAAACATTGAATCACCAACAGTCATGTTGTATCTCGACAACGACCGTGCAGGACACGATAATCAATTTATATTTATCACGTAGGAACGCGTCATGAGCACAGGCGTGTACAAAAGGTTACTACACACCCTTAGTACTTTCATTCAACCACTGGAAAAGAAAATGAAATACGATAGACGGAGCAATGTCAGCTCTCAGTAGCCTAGTCCCCCTGAAAGCACAATCCTTATACAGGCGGACGAGCTGACATCTAGAATCAGTCCTTAGTATTGAAGTGAACGATTGATATGTTGATGACGCAACCAAATAAATATCATAAATTGGTAATCATATTCAGAGATTTCAACTATGGGGTTATCCAATGGAAGGCATTTTGCTATCATATTGTCAACAGTAAGCCACGCAGACTTTGGCATCGGGAGAACTACCGGACATACAGCCGATGTGGAACATCACAGGTTTGGTTTTGTACAACATTCAACCCCAATGAACTGAACACTACGAGATACTGCAGCTGACAGCCGTCCAATACCTGAAGCGCCTTTGAACAAGACAAAGATTCCTTCGGATTTGACGGATTTGACGGCACAATCAACGACCCCTGTCGAGAGCGTAAGAGGCAGTACAGGATGATGTGACTGTGCATTTGCATTCAGGGCGTTATCCGAGTGATAGATGTTTCACTTTGATACAGCCAGGCCCCCCATTTAGACAATCTGGGGATGGGTTAGCGGGCTTTGTATTGATGTTAGTGTGAGCAGTAAAAATCATCGATATGTGCGATAATCTCAGCTTCAGCCGCTTTCATCAAGAATCCATCATTAATCAATGAACTGGAAACGGATACCTACGCTATCGTTCTGGACATACTCGGAATGTAGATGCAAACTGCACGCTGGATCGATCATGGCGCAGAATCGATGAACTTCTAGAGCTTTCATCACTTACTTGCAGCAGGTGTACTTCCAGGCAGCAGGTGTGCTTTGAACGCGCGCAACAACGCAAAGACCAAACGTATATACGAGTATCCCATAAGCACGACATCAGCATGCATCCCAGTTGTAATAGAATCACTCTCACAACAGTTTATATCACACGCGCCGTGTAGGCAAATTCTCAGACACGCCAACAGCTTCTAACTGGGACCACCACATATTCATAATGCAAACACACCTATAGACACTTCGATAAAAGGAACTATGATAAAAGGAACAATGTACCAGTAAGAAGTGTTCGACAGACAGGAATCAGCGGATGCACGTACGATAAGTGTATGCTCCTCTCGGCACTGAGATTTGCACTTGAGAACCCGCAATAACATAGTGGAAACCTTTCCTTATACCTGGCAGATATCACCCGATGTCTGTCACGACACCAACATAACATGACCGAGCTGTAGGCAGTATGATCTATCTACACTGTACGATTGTAAACGTACCTTTGTAGTATGCTGGTTTCCCGTTCACTAGCGGCTGGTTCATTATCCTTGCCGCCAGAAAATCAAACGGTTGCATCAGAGTTATACCTACTGCGGCAGCAGCAGAGCCGCTGAGGATCACACGGTGTTGGTATAGTGAATTAGTATGATGGGCCACGCAATCACAAATAACTATATTCAAGGTAGATTACACAGCATCTTGCGGTCTACATCATCATGGTGAAACGTCGTATGTCGTATGACACAGGTTTCTTAAGTGTCAAACGATGAAACGATGGCTGACCAACGTCCCACGTGCTATGTCGAGTGGCTATCTGATCTACTCCCCACCCAGAAACTTATATCAAATTACTAGGGTTATCTACCTAACTGCTACCACTTGTTTGAGTAAACATTCACCAGTTGAGCTACCGCTCCGTCGGTGATCCTCTTCTTATATACAGACACAGTCAATGCTTGTTCACTTACTTACTGCCAGAAAACTGCCCAACCACGCACACGCACCCTGGTTCACCTACATTTCTAACTTGTATATCCACTATGGAGTACTTTTCAGCTTGCTTGTTTAAGTAATTCAACACACCTCACTGCGCTGTTCTGCATGCAACTACCCGCGCGCTTGACTGTACGTGTGAAACCCCATCCACATCACCGCTTGACTGAGCATACAGTCTGGGCATCCACTGCCTTGATCTACTCAAGTATTCATCTGCTACTCGTACTTCATGTTACCTATATACATGTCTGTGCCTACCTCTGATATCACACGCACGTATCCAGATAGTTCCCAAGTAGTATAGTACACCAGTAAGCTCGCATACGCTTTCTTAACATAATCTTGGCATACGAGTGCCTTCCTAGCGTAAGCCGAGAATATCACATATCCACAGTGTACCTACCTTGTCAGGTGTGTGGTGACGTCATCAGCCCATCCACGTTGAAGCAGGTGATGTTTGCAGAAGTCGTAACTGGTCAATTGTCCAGTACTGTTTACCGGAGAGAAGAGGGAAGCGACAGGGAGTGTCTGAGAGATGCTTCATTTGATATGTAAGCCAACCTCGCCAGCAAATGCAAACGAACAAGCCTCTGTTCAGCATAGCAAGTATGAATTCAACGCATCAGCAAGTGATAAGTTGCCAGCATAGTATAAACGGCGGCAAACGCGCAGATACAATTCGGTTGAGCTGAGAGAAGTGACGCGTAATATGAAGGGTCTACAACTTATACATGCCATGCAATTTACTATAAAAAAACTCAATCGCGACTTGGAAGCAGTATATTGATCATGTTGCACACCTAAAGGCAACCACGCGGGGAATAAACGCTGTCACGCCGCGGAAGTAACCTCTGGGGCCCTCCTGCACGATGATTCGCTTGATTTCTTGTGTTAGAGTTGTCACCTGGTGCTGATGCCCCACCGCTACACTGGAACCCCCGGCACTCGCTGCAAGGGAGCGTACGAAGGGGAGGCAAAGGGTTTGGTGATGGTGTATGGTAGGAGGCATGAGTGATCCGTACTGGACCCAGGTCTGATGTATTGAATAGACTGTACTAAACTTGGTGATAGAGTGAAGTACAATATAAAAGCAAGGTTTCGGGGACACTGCAAAGAACGTGTGGATGACTGAATTGAGAATAAGGCATTTGAGTGCTCTCCAAGCAGTAGGTAGGAGGCGAATGTACAAAGCGCGGCCAGAAACGTTGTTCAGCACAAAACCGTATACGACTGATTGGATGGGTCAGGTTACACTTGAAGTGCTGTTTAGGACAGGTGTATTGAACAGAGCTGAGGTCACGAGGGGAGTTTGTTTCATGGACATTGGATACACTGTCTTGATTGAGTGGGTGCTAGTGTTTGCTAGTACTCTCGGGTTGACAATAGGAGATACATAATTGCAAGTGCGCAAAGGAGTGTTGACACTCCAGATAGAAAGACTTTTGTAAGCGTGTGCGGAAGCATCACGTTACCCTGTAGCGAAGAACGTGTCAGGCACTTGCCATGAAATATACAAGCGAATGTCAACAACCAAGTGTTTGGTGAGGTAGGGGCATCATCTATACAAAAGTTGTATTGGAATACCTTGAAATCTGGTCTTCATCGCGTAGAAGGGGTTGCCGGCGACTGCTCCGCAAATGCCCGCACCCAAAGCGAGGCCCTGCAGCCGTTAACGCAGAGAGTAGAGACAGCGGGTGTCAGTTACAACAACTTCCTGAATAATGGCATGTATATTTTTGGCAGCATGTTCCATGAACCCCGTCCATGCGAACACGCATGAGAGTGCGCGTGAATTACCTTTTTAAATATGGATGCAATGTACAATATAATTTAGAGGGAGCTCTCCAATATCATAGAGAAGCAACACAGGGTACTGCAGCAGTTTCACGTAAGTATAATTTATGCAAAGGATGACCAGAAAGGCATTGCACAAGCTCGATACAAGCACAATACACCTGTATAGCCAGGCGATTCACTCTTGTTCTTCGCAAGGCAATGCTATCCAGATATGACTAGGTAAATGCAAATATCATTTTCCATAGGCAGGCGATTCGCTCTTGCAATGATATCCAGATATAAATAGGTAAACGCAATAGTCAGTTTCCCAAACGAGTGAACATAAGAACTCACGGTCGATAAATAACCCCACACCGAAGAAGATGAAAATTTCTATATTGTCAGCCACAACCCAGACTGGGCCACACAGACAAAAAAATATCATAATCCTGCAACTGCGTGCCAATTCATGTTGCATATAATTTACATGAGCCATGCAGTTATAAGTCTGTATGTACTCATTCTCATACGAATTCTACTTAAACAAACTCACCCACCATATTCTGCATGTGCTGATTTGGGCTATCTTTGTTGACGCCCAGTAGCTCCTTAGTGTAGTTATAGAAGCCAAACCGGGTCCCTGTGACAGTAATCTGTAGCATACACGCCGCTCCCAGTCCCTTATACAGACTACAATATCGGATACCAGTATGGTGTGAGTATGATCGAGTCATCTGGGAAGACTTAAAGTTGGAATTGGAGTTCAACGTGGAGTCCTCACACAAGTAAAAGGTATATACGCAGGCGAGAGTATCAAAATGTATGCAGTGCAATACTGCTGCGTATCCTTACCCAGCCATGCCCTCGTGCTTGGCAACGTTAATAAGGGACGATGTAATGCCCGTGTATTGTTTGGCCGAGTGCGATGCCATTTCTCCCTGCAGCTGAAGTCTGTGTGTACAATGTGGTGTGTATGAGTATAAGAAAGCTATTCGGAGAACTTGGGCAGAGCATATATAAATTTATAAGATCCAGGTATTGGTGGTTTATTGTGGTGCTGTGTTGAGGCAAAGATGCTTATACACAGTCATGAATACGAGGTTGGTTAGTATGATTACGATGTGTTGTTTTGGCGGTGGTGGATAAAAACCCCTTATCTATAAGAAACATATGTGTGAGTGTAGTGGCGACAGTGAGCTCGTCGTTAGATGTGGGATTGTAGAGGTGCTATGAAGTGGAAGTTGTGTGTATGTATAAATATGCTTTGCAGCGTCTGCAAATAAGATTGCTTCTCAGTTTAGTGTAATCGTGAGGGCTGCGATGTGTGAACCAATGTTGAGCGATCCGCGAAGGGTGCGCTGAACATGGGTACACGGCTGTAACCATATTATCAAACACAACTGTGCTCATACAATGCTGTGTATGTAAGCTGAATGTGCAGTATGCTTTTATACTGAAATAAGAGACAAGATTGGGCGTTACGATCAATGGTTACACCGAATCTGTAACTAACTTCCACAAACGAAATTATATCGATGTATTCAAGCATGACTGTGTACAGGAATCAAAGGCACTACTTTCATTTCGAAAAAAAGTGCATACGACTGCCCGATACGATATTACATACTGCAATGACAGGTCCATCGAATCAGATTAAATAGACATATAACCATATGTAACATTACACATGCCATCTTCTATAACTAGAGATCATACCCCGTAGTGCAGATACAAGGAGAGTGAGTAGAGACAAACTGAAACGATCCAAGATATATTATATCCTGTTTTTTCCCGAAGTCGGTGCACTAAAAAGACTGTGTATAGGCTAATCACTAAAATTTTATCCCCCCGACAGACGCTAAGAAATAAAGGATTGCCCTTGGGTCGTAGCCTACTTTCGTATAAGTATACCTGGGAGGACTCAATACCTTCGTGTTGGACTAGTTTCTTGCGCAACTATCGGATTTACCACTCACCTGAGCCCGGCCCTATACACAACACTCATTATGTACTGGTAAGCTCACTAGACCTACCACAATTGAACTTGGTTCTCATATCCTTAAATCACAATCATACAGTAGTGCTACAGTTGATAAAGCACGACACACTGCATACCTTGTTTTCACCACATCGATTGGGTGCACGATGCAGATCGCAGACACCGCCGAAGCAGCTCCATATAAGAAGTTCTCCATGATTTACGAATGCTGTTTCAGATTTCTTTATGTAAGTACAAGTAACGTAGCCTTCGCACCAAGTGCAATAGGCCTCTCAATATGAGAAGCTGTGATAGGAAGTATGTATGGGTTCAAGATCGCTACTAACTCCAACGCGACGATACAAAGGTTGTGGTAAAGTGCGTTTCTATTTGTACTCTTATTTTTAACTTATATACTGAAATTCACTTGAAGTATTTTCAAGCCAAAGTTGTCGGATAGCTACTATCTGAATTTCATCGCATAGTGTTCCCACAAGATATATATCCATATATTTAGAAATGTATGATTATACGTGTGGATTTTAGGAATCAATGCACACTATTTACATCCTTTACGGTATGACAAGGTGCCAAGCTGTGACGGAACGTGACATCATCCATGTAAATGACGTCATATGAACTACTGATTTGAACGAATCAAGATCACTAGTGCTTGTATAGCTTTAATTCCGTATTTTTTTTATATGTATAAAAAAAAATTACGATATTTACTTATACTGTAATAACATCATCAGAGCATCACTACATCCGCGAAATCTGCGTATCTACATACGGCACAGGGCAAGCACTGAAATATAAATTTCGCTCTATTACCCATACAATAAAATAACCAACAGAAGGTTCTGTGGTGAAGTCTCGTTATCATGGCAGACGTCCGTCCCGAGGTAATGGGGCTGAGTCCCTCCTTCGGATATGATACTGGAGGGTCTACTATCACCATCCGCGGAATGAATTTCGGTGTTGATGCCGATGATCTTACTGGTGTGTATTTTTTGCTGTAGTTTTCTATAATAATCCTACCTTTTGGATCATTCGTAAAGTGATAGTTTCTCTCTCGATTCGTAAATAGGTATGTTATTTGTTCCATCAATATATACAACTACGTGCATGTATATCTGTAGCGGCGATAGACAACATCAGATGCGCACACCTGTATATAGGTTCATCAATGAGTATAGAAGAATCGCTACATATTACTGTTAATATATATATAAATATATATATATGTATGTGTGTATGAATAT